ATTTTTGTGCAATGCCAGAAAAAAGTGCATTCATTAAATTTACATAATTTTTATGACGGAAACGTCATTAACCTTAAAACGAAACATGCCACTATGAGCTCGCTTATTCACACACACAACTAAAGTTGATGTGTAGGAGAAAAAAAGTTATTCATACGCCTCAGTAACTTAAATTAACTTTTTTTTTTTTGAGGGAGAGAGAGAGTAAAAAAACGCATCCTTAATGAGACTTCATGGTGTGCACTTCTATGTGGCATGTTGTAACCCACTTATAAACAATTTTTCATCCTGGTTGGACTATAATGTTGAAGCATTAATTCTTATTATATTTCCTTTAGGTAAACACAAAAAGGAAGCATGCATGTGTGCCCCTATGCACGGATGTGTGCCAAGTAAAATGTTGATAAAAACGTCGTTTAAGTTTCGCTAACATAATTACAGCATTCCTTTGCCAAAAAATGTAGCTGTACCAAAGAATTAAAAATTAACAAGGGACTGTGAAGTTAAGTTCGGAGGGCTAGAACTTTTTATACCCTCCAGCATGTGGAAACTCGAGGTATGCTCAAATTAGCTCCCTCAAATATGGAAGCTCCATTGTATGGGAGTTATCCCTGAATAATTAATTTTTTTGAGATAAATTAAAATACCTACTGAAAATTCGAAATGCCAAGTTACATCTGATTTGGTTGCGAATATGGGGCTATGACAATAAGTGGACCTAAATTGAATATTTTTTTCAAGAAATTGAACTATCCGATGAAAACCGTAAATATCAAATTACAGTTAATTTGGTAGAAAATTGGAACGAAAACCTTCGACATACCGAAAATCAGGAGGTACCTTCATATGGGGTTCAGATATAGCCCATTTCCAACACCAAACATCATGGGAGTACTCAAACATTTGTTTAATTTATAAATATTATACAGAAATACGGGTATTAAGATCCAGAAATTATGTCGGTAAATATGTTTTGAAACTTGAAAAAATAAACTTGAAATTAAAAACAAGTAAGCAAAGGCTGAAGTCGTGCGGGGCCGACCATGTGATACCCTACAACACTACAATATGTTAGAAGCCTCCTTATGTCCAAATCCATTTTGAAAGATTTCGCTTTTGAAATTATGTCATAGAGCACTGCCCAGATATTACCCTTAGCTTTTTGACAAATTGATTTGATTTGCCTAATATTTACGCCCTCCGTTGTGCTGTTACTTGTTAAGGTCGATTTTACAGCTAAATATAATCCAATGGTCATCCAAGTTCTCAAGAGTTCTTGCCTGTCCATAACTCTCTTCTCATGCAAAATTCCATGTCGATTGGTCTCAATTGTATGATCAGGTAAATTTTTCTGTTTTTTGGTCATTTCAACCCCTGAATATTTTGCGATTATCTCCAAAAGCAAGAGGCCCCTTTTTTTCCAAATTTAGACTCATCTATATGATTTGCTTGTCTACTATATTTGGATATATTCATCAACGACATCAGCATAAAAAAGCCAGAAATTAGCCTCTTGTTTATTTCACCTGCAAGTTATTTTAAGCGTTTCGGTAGAATTAAAATGTTGGTATTTTGCCACAAAAGTAGTGATCCATACTACCCGCCGTGTGACCTTTATAATGGCTGCAAAATCAGGAACATTGTTAGTTGTTGGTCCATTTCAACCCCTAAATATATTAGGGACACCTTTAAAAACAATAGGCCTAGCCCTCCTGAACCTAACCATACCCTTATGAAAATTTTCGTGTTGTAAGTTGAAAAAATATTACAAAATGTACACTTCAAATTGAAAAAATCGCATGCGATAAAAAAATATGAAAAAATAAAAAATGTGACAAAATACAACAAAATCTATATTAACATCATTATTGGCATCTTTTTGTGCGATTTTTTTAGAATTTATACTTTTATGCCAAGAGGGCTTTCTGAATTGACAAAATTTGTCAAAATCGGTCCAGCCATTCTTGAGATATGAGCATTATAGCTAACACCCCCTTCCTTTGTATACATACATTGCATTTATTTCACTATATATATCCGATATATTTACTATCGGCATCTACGTAGCACTCAGAATTGATCTCTTCGTCTATTTGTGACTTCGGCGGGATTAAAAATATTCGCGGTTAAATGGAAATTTTGACTTTTATTTAACACAAATGTTATGGCCTACTTCACCCACTAAGTATTTTACGATGACCATCAAAATTGGAAGGCTTCTGCCCAGTCCTAAGTTCCAGCTCCATGTTAACTTCTGCGTCGATTGGTCTATAATTGCGACCTGTAGAGCAACTGCAAAATCAAGAAAATATTTTTTTTTGGTCCATTTCAAACCCTGAATATTATGCGGTCATCTCCAAAAGAAATTGACTTCTATTCTGGCGCTAGCCCCACCTCCATTCTAAATTTCGTGAAGATCGGGCAATGATTGCGACCTGTAGAGTGATTACGAATTAACATGGACAGACTTACGGACGGACGGACATACATAGCTAGATCGACTCAGCTCGGCGAGATAGGAAGATCCATATATACTTTCCTATGTGGGAAACCAATATTTCGAGATGTTACATAATTTTTGGCCCAATCAAACTTATAATACCCCCAAACACATAGTGTTGTAGGGTATAACTACAGGTCTATAGAAAATAAATAATAATAGGGTCGGTTGTAAACTGTGTCCTTTAAACTTAATGTTTCTAAAAATATGAATACGGAGGGAACCATTTCCGAAGATCCCCTATTAATTGCAACGAATAATATTGATCACATTTTTTAATATTAAGATGTACAAAACGCGTTCAGATTTTCAACTAGAATTTGTCTACTGGAGCCGTTACGTAAAAGCTTAATGTGGACACCCAATGAGATATTATGTATGTGATAAACCATAGCTTGGAAAATTTAGATGTTTGCTGCATTCGATATTTTGGATGATTGGTCTTAATATTATCGGATGTTTTTATAATCCATACTACGCCTTGGAACAGAGTATTATGTCTTTGTGAATTTGTTGGTAACATGCAGAAAGAAACGAGATAGACCCATAATTCTTTTTGACTATCACCAAAGAATCACAATCAGTCTGTTTATGTATTTGCATACCCTTAGCCAGCCCTATGGTCAAAAGGAGCCTTATCGAAATAACGGTTGTAGACTCTAGTACTCTGTGGACCAAATCTGTTTTAGGACATTTGGAGTCGATCAAGTGGTGTCCGTCCCTCTGCCTGTCTGTCTGGCTAGTGAATACTGTAACTCTTGAAGGGAGCATCCGATTTGGTCAAAAACTGATACATCGATATATTATTATCAATCTTATATCGAGTTCAGAGATGGACACCATCGCTCCAATTTTGTGCAAACTTTGCAAATCATTATATTCTTGCAATAATGGAAAATATCGGCCACTTGACCAAGTAACACAAGGGGTCAACATTTTGAATAATTTTAACTTTTATAGAATGTCCCATTTTCATCGATATTTTACCAACACAAGATTTGACTTGAGGAACAGACCACTTCTTCTGGTACCGCCCAACAACAAGTTTGAATAATTTTAAATAACCATGAATCTAATAAAATGTGAAGCTATCATCCGATTCCTTTCAAACTCGGTTCATCCCAATACTTCTATCAACATAGGATCTGGAGTGAATATGCACCATTTCTCCCGGTACCTATCTCACAACGGGTCAAAAGTTTGAGCAATTATAACCCATATATATGTTCAATACAATTTAATATTTAAGTCCCCTAAAATTGTAATATGCACTCCATAGCAATTATATTTGGTACAAGACATCAGATATATTATCAAATTTATCGAGATCGATTCTAAATTGGATCCCCCATATAGGTCTTCATCCGATTACAAGTTCATTAATCACCAAATATGTAGTGTCAGACCAAAATGAAATGTTTTTGGCACATACGACCAAATTCGGCCTAGAAGCAAATGAAACTTATAATTATCCAAAATTTGCCAAATTTCAGAATCGATTTTAGGACTTATATCGACCAAAGCCAAGTCATGCGATAATATGCAAATTTTCATATATTTCATGAATTATTCCAGTTTTAAACTAAGAATTCTTGTACACACAAAGTCCATCTCAAAAAAAAAAAAAAGTTTCGAATTTTGAATATTTTCTTTTCTAAATTCTCTTTTGCAAAATCTTTAAAATTGCAATTACAATTAAAATTTTCAATCCGATATCTTCATTATTTTTTGCAAATGTAATGAAAAAGAGATCGTAAAATTGGGCGAGGTCAATTTTCTTCTCCATACAAACCTGATATGGAGTTGGACGAATAGTACGAGCGACGAACATTTGATAAAACCAAATCGAAGATACCTCTAAATAATTTAGATTTTGTATTGAAATATCTATTGATCGGTTACAGATTCAGTATTCAAATTTGGAAAGTGTAACAGAATTTGGTACAAAAATAAATTTTCCAAATTATATTGAAATCGGTTTAGATTTGAATATAGCTCGCATATATATATTTTTGGCCGATTTCATGTATTGGATGCACCAAACATACTTTATATCTCCAATATCAATGAAATCTCTAAGTTTTGGCGGAATTTTTTCTACAAATAAATTTGTTAAATTATATTGAAATCGGTTCAGATTTGGATAGTTGTTCCGATATAAATTTTTGAGGTGAGTATCTCACTTCAGATGAGAAGTGGTAATATTGCTCCACACCTTCGGTAACTTCTCCATATAGGGTCAATATTTTGAATAAACATAATATAAGTCAAACTTATTTTAACAAACAGACTGATATTTTTAACTTGTTCTAAATATCTCCAAGGGAATTGTTGAGGATGTGCATCCGAAACCCTGCCCTACCCCTGGTAAACATTACCATCTATTCTTAAATTAAGCCTAACGAAAATTTTACTTTTATAAACTCGAAATATACATACACACACACATACATGTATTTAAATACAGTCAAAATGTGACATAACAACAATTTACACTTACCAACTATATTTAAATGAACGGAAAAACTTCGCACTGGCTGCGTGGAGATTTGACATTCATAGACACCAGCATCACGCTGCTGCGCCCACTTAATTTGTAATGTCCATTCATCAATGTCACGGTGATAGGACGTTTGAAATCTCTGATCGGTGGTGTAGGTATATGTGCCAACTGTCAATATATGCAGATCACGATGACGTATCCATGCAACCTAAATGTAATTAAAAAATTGATTAATTTGAGTAGTTTTTTTTTTCAAATAAAATATTTAAGTTGAATCAATGTAAATTTAAAGATATTTGAGTTATTCATGAATGCATTGAAGCTACATTCTCCAAAAACTATTGAATCTCAATGTGTCGGAAGGAAGAAAAAAAATTGACAAAAACCAAAACTTCATGGAACGTACTAAATTATCAGACTTTTAAGGTTTCGTATATCATTTAAGATTTTTGTTTTTTGGGAGAGAACAATAGGAAAATTTCTACTTTTTACACAAAAAAGTCTTCAAAACCGTTCATTTTGAAGTTTACCGGAGAGGATATTAGTAAAACAATTGCACAATGGAACCACATCCAATTTTCCTCTCCAAACCTCAATATCAAATTTCAGCTCTATCCCTTTACCCAATACCAAATTTAGTACCATTTAGTATGCATATCAAAACAAGCTACATCTCTCCATCCTGGACACAAACAATGACGCAAAATTAGTACCATTTAGTACAATTTTAGAATTTCAGCTCTCTCCCTTCACCCAATACCCAATTTAGTATCACTTAGTATTTTTCGAACAATTATAATACACATTTTAAACTACCTCTTAACCACAGACATCGAAAGTGATATCTATATCAAATGTCGGGATTTCAGTTACCTTCCTCCATTCAGTACCTATAGTACTATTTAGTACTTGTTTCTACAATTATGGTATACATTTCCAAACCCACCTCCTTATCTCAATTGCAGATACCAAGAGATACCTAAATATAAAATTTGAAGATTCCAACCCTATCCCTTCACCCAATATCAAATTTAGTACTTTTTATACAAATATACGACGCATTTCCAAACCACCGCTAAATCTCAGCCAGAGATAACATCAGTCTTCTAAATATCAAATTTCAGAATTTTATCTTTATCACTTCAATCCTTACCAAATATAGTAACATTTAGTACCTTTCGTACAATTATGGTAGATGTTTCCGAAACAACCTACATATGCCCGGGCTACACATGAAAGGCGACCTTTATAGACTTTTCAGTTTTCAAGAACTATCTATTCACCAAATACCAAATTGTACCAAATATAGTACTATTTAGTACTTTTCCTGCAATTGTAGTACACATTTCCAAAACCACCTCCTTATCGCAAACATACAAACAGCAAGGACCCCAATATAAAATTTCAGAAGTTCAGCTACCCTAAACCGAACTGTTTAGTACAGTTCGCACACTCAGTACATTCCAAACTTGATTCTCATACCAAATTTCATGTTTTTGACTCTACCCGTTCACATAGCACCAAATGGTATCATTTTGGAAGTTTTGTAAAATTTTAGAACTTTTAGAACGCTTAAAGTTCGATTTTCCAAAATACCCTTTTGTACATGTATGCTGCACTCCATAAGTGGTTCCAATTCGGAATTTTAGAACTGTAACTTATTCCGTTTGTCCTATACATAGTACTTTATTTTTAGTACATTTTAGCACGTTATATTCCCTTTTGGTGAGAAGTTTCAAAAACCATGGATTATCACACGCCTAGGCACCTAGTCTCCTTCAGCCGATTCAACATTCTAGATTCTAGATCCGGCATTCAATATTTGAAATGATGGAAAGCTGAAATTTGCACAGAGATGTACTTCATTTCCAGACAGGTGAGTATATAGGTTATATAGTTCCACGGTATAGTTCCTTATGATGCAACCTCCACATAATCGGTATTTTAGCCACGTTTTACAGCGGAAGTTTTTAATATTTAAAACCCTAAGTTTTCGATATTTTAATAATTTTAAGCGGAAATTGTTCAAACTGGTATTTGAAGTTCATAAGGAGAGCCACTCCCACCCAGAATATAGATTATGTAAGATTATCCCACACAAATTTTAATTATTTTAGCCAGACTTTTCAATTAATTTATCTCCGATTCAATATGAGAAATTCTTAATAGACTATACCCTTTCTAGCAGAAAATTGCCTAGATAGGTATACGTTTAGATATAGCCTCCTGTTTAACCAGAAAACCAGTATTTTTAGAATATTTTAGAGTTTGGTAGTTGAAGTACGTAATAGGTAATAAATCGTCTAGCTAAAAATAGTGCACATAGGTCCACTTTTTTACATATCTCTATAATACCGGTATCTATCGATATTAGTCATTTCGATGATTTAAGTCCGAGTTTTTAAAAAAAATTGCTGAAATTTGATATTTCAAGTTCGTATTGGGTTCGTGATGGTACAAAAAATTCCAGAATAGCCAACGTAAATCTGAGTTTCTTTGCATTAAATTTGATGTCCTATCGGACGTCCATTAAAGGACTAACTTTTTCTTTATGACTTATCGACATTTTATGTGGAAAATTTATTTTTTTGTCAGTTACGATAACTGCTAATGAAGACCAAGTCAGCAGGTCCAATTCTTCTGATTTCTCCAAAAGTAATCCTTCTATCAGAAAGTACAGTAAATTTTACGACTGACCCCTAAAAACATCGGAATGTCTGTCAAGTACATATAAGCGGTGAGATGAAAAAACTGCAACCAACTTCGACTGCTGTCATTTCTAAGCCGCTCGTCTGACAGCTGTTAAAATTATTCCAGTGACAGATCATTATATTGTTTACATGACGTACAAAAGCATTTTGGTGAGAATTTTACAGAAAAAAGTTATTCGCGATGAAATTCAAGCGTGATAGTGTGATTTCTTTATATTTGGCCACAAGTGGCTATCGTTAGAGCACTCCAGCATTTAAATGTGAATAAATCTTTTGTATCTCATACCATCGCTCGTGATATCGTGATAATGGTAGCGTAGCCCGATGGCAAGGAAGTGGACGGAAGAAAACAGCAACATCAGCAGAAATGTTTCGAAAAGTAAAGAAGCGACTTGATCGAAAAACGCGTCGAGGTGGCCCTTCGGCATATATTGAAAAACGAGCTCGGGGTAAAGCCATTGAAATTCCAAAAAGTACAAAAACTTACACCGCATCGCACCGCAAAGAAAATAGACTCAAAAGAGCTAAAGAGTTGCTTCGCTTGGCCGAAAGTAGTGAACTGTTATCGTTATCTCCGCCAGAAATGGTCAACATTTTGAACAATAATAACGCACGACAGAATTTATTTAAATAATCGGTTGGCAAAACCGACTGAGACATTCTAATTTATTTCTGCTAAATTTCTTCATTCACTCCATGTTATTGTTAAAGGAATTACTTGGTTATACCGCTTCTTTCAAAACTTTTAATTTTTTTCACTTTGTTGGGGTCAGCCAATGGTCATTAGCACATATTTAATTAAACAATCAAAAAGTTAATTTTGCACTTTTTACATTCAATATTAAAAAAGAGGCCAACGTTCACAAAAAATAAAGTCAATGTAAATTTGTTAATCTGTCGTAATAATTGCTATTTTCACATTTTTTTTGTTTACAAATTTGTTAATAAAGTCGCAACATGCACACAAACTTTCTGTAGTTTCGGAGTAAATTGATTAAGTTTTGCCATTTGAAAGGTTCACAGCGGAGCAGAGAAACGAACATATTTTTGAGTCAAGGGAAAGATACTAACCAACTTTATTTGTTGAATTATTAAGAAATGTAATTATTTCTTATGATTCTGTTGTCGTGGTATAAAACTTTAGCCATTATGACGCTAAACTTCGACAGGAATTCATGTGAGCATGAAAACAATTCAATTTCATTTCGCCGAAGTCAGGTCTGGTGTAATGGGTTGGGGAGAAAGATTTGTGAGTAAAATTTTGTTTTGGCGATGCTTTAAAAGGCATACAATTAATCCTTTTTAAACCCTACACCACAAGGTGGTCAGGGTATTATGTCTTTGTGCATTTGTTTGTAACAGGCAAAGGAAAACGAGATGGACCCATAGTTCCTTTTGATGATCTGCATAGAATCACATTCTGAGTCGATTTATGCATGTTTGTCCGTCCGTCTGTCTGTCTGTCCATGTATTTTTGTAAACAAAGTACAGTTCGCATTTATTGCCCGATCCAGATGAAATTTTACACAAATCATTTGTTTGGCCCAAGGACGAACCCTATTGAAATTGGAGACAATCGGTCAAAATTTAGATATAGCTCCCATATATACATTCGTCCGATTTGCTTGTTATTGTGCACCAAACCTGTAATATCAGTTCAAATAGTATGGAGTTTTGCACGTACGATCAGATCGGACCTGAAAATAAGTATGCCAAATTTGATCAAAATCGGTTCAGATATAGCTATAGCTCCCATATATATTGTTCATCCGTTTTGAAATATGCACTCTGTAACAACAATATTTGAGGAAATATATCAAATACAGCTCAGAAATACATTTTCTAAATTTTATCGAGATCGGTTCCGATTTGGATATAGCTCCCATATATATTTTTATCCGATTTCAAATTAATTGTGCACCAAATAGGCAATACAAGTCCTAATTTAAAAGATACAAATGCTTCGGCATATTTAATCTTTTGATCTTTAAATTATAATTATAATCATAGCGTGTAAGATTGAATTCGGCCCCGCCCGACTTTAAGACTTTCTTTGCTGGTTATATATTAAATTCTGATGATGATAGGCAACTTACAAAATTTTAAATAAAAATTCATTTATTTAAATAGAAATAATTCAGGCAAAATGAAGCCAGATGGACATATAGTTTCCCTCGATGAAAAATCTCCACAAACCATATGTTTGAAATCGGTCAAAATTTACGTATGATTCACATAAATCTGATTTAAATTTTATTGAGTGCCATATGTGTAGTATTCGTTGAATTAGGATATATTTCCGCACATCGGCACATAATGCTTTTAGGCTTAGCAAATACTTCAAATTTGGTGAAAATCGGTTCAGATATAACTATAGCTACAATATATAAGTTTCAACCGAATCGATTTTTTTATTCCCATACATTAGCAATATGCACTCCACCACAATGATAATTGGTATCAGATACAGCTCAGAAATAGATTATTATACATTTTT